GGCGGTTGGCGGTGCCTTCCCAGCCCCCAGCTCAGCCTGCTCTCACCTAAGCAGCTTTAGCTAATAGCATTAGGGGGGTCTCAGGACTCAGCACCCCGCACCCCGCACTTGGGGCCAAAATCAAGGGCAGAGACCAGAGGCTTCTAATCGGATCCCAGATCCCGGATTCGGCAGTTTGCTTGGTCTTTAGCATAAAATACCCGCCACCACCAACCACCCCCACCCCCTGGGCTAGTGGCTTTGGTTTGACCTCTGACCTCACCTGTGTCCACAGCCCCAGCACCACCACGTGGTTTGTCCCTCATTCTGTCCTCCCGCTGACTGTCCTGCCCTATGTCTTTCCTCCACCTTTGTATCTAGAAACAGTCCCGCTTCCCGTTTTCCCACGTAGTCCATCCAGCGGTCCCGGGAAGACTGGCTGCGTCCAGCCAGTCAGATTCTGCAGCCGCTCAAGAGGCCCCAGGACAAAGTGACCCGGGAGGCGACTTTCTCCTTTGCAGCATTGCTCTGGGGCCCTGGGCTTTTGTCCTCTGGCTGTGTTCCTGTCTCTCTCTCCTCTCTACCCCGCCTGCCCATCTGCTGGCCGGCCTGGGCTTCCCGGGGCCTCCACTGATCCTTCTTCTGGCCAAGCGCTCACTTCTTAGGTGTACTCCATGTGCCACCCCCAGCCTCACCCCTGCTCCCAGGTTTCTTGCCCTGACTGATCACCGTTAAGAGCCCAAGCCAGACAGACCTGCTCCCCGCCTGCCACACCGCTCGCCCAGGGATCTTAGGAAATCTGCCACTTAGTCTTTTGAGCCTCAGTTTCCTCGGCTTGCAAAACACAGGTAACAATGCCCACCTCTGAGGGTTACTGTGAAGACTCAGTGAAGTCACATCTGAAAACAAAGTCCAACCCAACAAGGGGAACGTGGTATTAGCCTGACTCATCCTAGCGAAGCTCATGAGAGGGGAGGCTGCTTTAGAGGTTTCCTCGGGCTGCGGTGCCGGGCTCCAGGCCTGCTGCGGCCTGTTACCAGCGTTCCCCTCCTGCCTCTATTAAACAGTGACCCGAAACCTGCCTGCGTTGTAATGAGCCCCATGTGGCCAAGGAGACCAATCATATTATTGGCAGTCAGATGATGGCTCTGAGATGACAGTGACGACCGCTCGCGGCCGTCACCCTTCAAGAAACGCAGCACCCAAGAGCTGGGTCAGTGGTTTCAGTGCCTGTCCCCTCAGCGCAGTAACAGTAACACAGAGCCACCCCAGGCTTTGCAGGTGGGCTGTGCACANCTCCACAGAACTTCCAGGAGAGAAGGGCTCCCTTAGAGTGGGAAGGGCAGGCCACTGGAAGGACTTCCCGGCAGTCCAGTGTCCCTTTTCCCAGAACTGAAAAAAGGGCAGCCCTGTCACCGGGTCTCTCTGTCGTGGATGTTTTAGGAGCTGCCGGCCCCAGAGGCGGGCGCTGAATGCAAAGAACCCAGGAGAGACACTCCCCCCACCCACCCCCACAGAGGTGGAGGGGCCGCAGGCCCAGGTGCCACTGGCCCCTGAAGGGTTAATGCCATTGTCTGAAAACCACATGGGCCCCCTGGGAGCTTGGAGATCCTGCTCTCATTTTAAGGAACCCTAACTCTGCGTGGTGGTGAGCGAGGGGTGGCTGGGGGGCAGCCGCTGGGCAGCAGGGACGGCTGCTGCACTGAGGTAAGGGATCCTGGTGGCAGGTCCTGGGGGGGGGGGCTGGCCAAAGGGATGGCCCTTCTCCACCCCCGCCCCCACCCCCGCTGCAGAGCCCCTTCCGGAAGGGAACACGGGCTCCCAAGGGCCGCCCTGCAGCCTCCGAAGGGCCATCTCTGCCGTCATGTGTGGGACAGCCGCAAAGCCAGGTGGGCAGTCAGGACAGAAGTAGGGACGTCGTGCACACAGCAGGCTCTTCTCCCCAGAGGGGCATGGCTGGGGTCAGACGTTGCTCACTGGGCAGACTCCTGGGATAAATGGGGTCGTGGGGCCCGGGAGTTGAATGGATGCCGGTCTCAGCTGTGGGTACACCAGGGAGCTCCCTGGGGCCAACCATGTGGCTCAGGGTGAGGGGCGGGGAGGTGAGGACCGGCGCTGAGGGTGTGGGCTTCACAGCGCAGGGATGGGCAGACAGGGCCTAGGAGGGGACAGTTAAGGCTGTGCGGCCATGTGAGCCAGGCTCTGTGAATAAAACTAGACCTCTGACTGGGTAAGACGGCTCTGCCCCATCCTCCTCTCCACTTCCCAGACTCCTGACATCCTTCCCAAAAAGCTGGCTCCAAGAAGCCTGAAGCCTGACAGCTGGGGGTGCCCCTCATCAGGAGAGCCCCTATGACGGTAGGGCTGGGAAGTCAGAGGTGATGATCTGGCAAAGAAGTCCCATGGCCCCCGCCCTTCCCGGGGGGTAGGAGCTGCTGGGGAAGTGTGTGGTGCCCCGGCCACCCCACCCTGAAGGGCAGTGGGCCCCGTGGGGAGACACAAGGACTCGTTGATGGAGCCCGCAGTTGGACTTGCGACTTGGTGGAAGTTGAAGTTAGGGTTCGTGTGAAGATTGGGGTTGAAAGCGAGAGTTGGGGTGGAGGCTGGGAGTGAACGGGGGCTGAGTCAGCTGGCATCAGGGACCTCCGGGAGGTGACAGTGCCTCAGAGGCCTGCATCCCCCGTACCCCTCACTCAGCCACCGGCCAGCTCGCCCAGCTCCACGTTTAGCTGGTAGCTTTCGCTTCCTCTGTCTGGGTCCTCAGCTGCCTCAGCGCCTGCTGATGGGGATTTCTGGTCCCTGGGTCCCGGACGAAGGGTAGGATGGGGCTGTCAGGCAGGGGGATCCCCGGGGCACAGCTGATGGGAATGGGGTGAAAGGAACCAACTGCGGTTGCCACAGGGGAAGGTACGGGGAGCCTGGGGAGCTTCCGGGAGGAAGGAGAGGGCTGGGCTGGGAGAGCCCGGCCTGTGCTCAGTGTCCAGCTCTGGGGGGGGCGGGGGGCTGGAGAAAGACAGGCAAGGAAACGGAAAGTGACAGTGAGAGCCAGTGCCACACAGACCACCATTGGTAGACACAAGAAGCAAAGATGGAAATGGGGAGGCCGTGGGAACTGAGCTGGAAGTGGACGGTGGTGGGGAAGTAAGACCAGAGGAGGTCGAACTGGAGAGAAGGAAGAGGGGGAGACCCGGGGAAGAGCAGAGAAACGGGGAGACCCGGGCAAGAGCAGAGAAACGGGGAAGGAGGCTGAAGACTGAAAGGTCAGTGAAACCGAGACCTGGGGGCCAGACAGAGGGGTGAGTGGAAGATGCCCCTAATCCCTGGGTCCCCCCATGACTTTCACCTGCCTTTGGTGACAGGTCTGGGGTTGGGCATGGGGTGCCTGGGTTTGGATTTCTGCAACACGGAATTACACAAACCTTTTAAAGCCCCCAGCCCCCAGGGACCGCACAGACTAGTGAGGTCTGAGGCGTCTGCACGAGGGGGGGGGGACGAGGCCTGAGACCCGACCCGGAGGGCGTACATACTGCAGAGTGAGAGGGAGCCTGGGAGGGGCCCGGGGCAGCATGGAAGGAGGGGCAGGAGCGGCAGGTGGGGGGACGGCTGAG